TGCTGTGTTGTCTGTGTTAAGCTGCTGTTGCACTGCAATTTACCTCACGGGATCAATAAAGTATCTATTTATCTATCTTAAATAAAGAACGGAACGAGGAGGCTGGTTAACGTGATAATAAACACAAATGTAACACAAAAGGATCAGAGTGCCCTCTAGAAGAGGGATGATGATCACGACAGCTCTGGTGCTGAGTTTTTAGTCATGAGTACAGTGACTTCTGAGCATGTACAGGGATGCTGTAAGAGTGCACATACACAGCATATCTGACTCAGGCTCATCCAAATCCATCATGAAATTTCCATTTCATTCTCAATTAATCCCTAAACTGCACTCAACACTACGGTGTTGTTGAAATATGTGCATCAAGGATCATGATAAAATAAAAAGTAAATCATTTCTGCAAGTTTAGAGTTGAAAGTACTGCTGTATAAGGTGGGCATTGTTCTGAATGCTCTTTCTGGACTGCATCAAACATAATTTTTTTGAGAGAAACTGCATGCTATCACTCCTGGACTCGGTACCTGTTATAATACTGGGAACTTGCTTGTTGTTTCCAGGGTCCTTTCATGCACAGAAAAAGCAAAATACAGTAAGTGAACTTCCTAGTTATCTCTGAATTCAGGACAACTACAAAATAACTCTTTAAGAGCCTACTTTACAAACCTTAAAATCATGTGTTAGATAGCTGAACTAATCTGAAATAACCCTCACTGCTCTTTTAGGCATTACAGGGACAAAAAACTCACCTTTAACATTCAAGAACAATCAGAGAGGACTTTCTGTTCTATGCTCTTGTGCAGACAAGCATGCAGTCACAGAAAGAGAAAAAATTAAGCACACCATATTGTGCCTTGTGTGGTAGGTCATCATGCTTTCACACAATTCAACATAATAGTTCTTTTGTGCAGTTTAAAAACAACTTTTATTTTTTTGGGTATTTTTTGTACCCTACCACTGTGGATAGCTAGTTATTCACTCTATACCACACCCAATAATCCAACTTAAAAAAGTAAAGAAAGCAAAGCTGTGTGATCTGCACTATCATCATTCTTCCGAGAGCCAGAAGCACAAGCAGGAGGGGCTGTGTGACCTTGGAAGGAAAGATACACTCTTTTGAAACAGCAGGAGATGCAAACTCAATGATGCATTGCCTACAGTATAACTGTAATAACTGAGCAAGGAAGATCGGTCTGGTCAGGGATCAAAGGTGAGGGACTGTGGAAAGGCAAACTTATGTAACCTTCTCCACAAATCTCTGATTCTACAGAATGCATACACGCACAAAAAGTCATTTTTTATTAAACATCTGGAATGAGAAAACAAAAAAGTAGGTCTCTAAAGTTATTGAGAGGAAGTCTTGACTTTTCCAATAAGGAGTGATCAACATGGACCTCTCTGGTACTCTGGACCGGTAGGATTGTTTAGTAGGGTAATGGACTCTAGCTGGCCTGACATTGACTGTCTCTTTGCAAGCTCCACAAGAGTAAATGCAAGACAGTAAACACTAATTGGAATCTGGCTCATCTGAACTTAATAATGGCTTGTGATAATTGCCATCAGAGTCCATGGAATATTATTTTGCAACAGTAGATTTGTAATTACAGTAGCAATAACATCAGACATGCAGCATAAAGTAGCACTTTGATCTCTGTCTGCAGTGTATCATACACTTGGATTATAACTCTTATTGTTAAGACATTTGGAACCTGATCAATGATATGAAAAGAGAGCCTTGGTGCAAATTGACTTTGCTCTTTATATGTGTTCCATAGATTGTCATGATCATTAAACTTTAAATATGTTGTTCAAATGAAAGGAGTTTGACAAAGGCAATAAGGAAAGTACAGTACCTGTTGCTAACATTTGGAAAAAAATACCAGTTTTCCACTATAACCAACCACAGTTTACTGTTTCTTACTCCACAAGAAAAAAATCTCCAGGGTATCAGTTTTAGATGTTTATATAAGAAAGACAATGTTGACGTACAAATAAAAGTTATTCCTCTGGAATATTCCACTGTGCTATTTTCAGTTCAAGGTGTCTTTCCTTCCTGCCAAAAAATGTAAAGTTGCCGAAATCCAGGATCCTTCAAGAAATCCATCTTGAAATTTGTGAAGTGAACAAGATGAGCTTAATGGTCTCCTCTCTTTTGCATCTCTTAAACAGACACCATGACCCCAGGTCATGCCACTAGTGGATGGGGCTAATTCCATGGGAATCTCCAAGCAGCAGTTTTTCTGCTACAGATAAATCCACAAATAATCCCATATCAAGTGGGTGAAAAGTAAAAAAATTGCTGGCAATTCCAAAACCGGGAAAAATGAATGGAGAGGCCTATATTGAAAAGTGACATTATTAACACCCTCATACATGCACGAGGAGGCTAGACATCAGACAGCACATCCCACACAATATAGAGCACTTCAATGCCTCACCCACATGATTCCACTTTCCCAACCCTTAGTGTAAAGATGTGCCTTAGGTTCTCAGTCTTAAGTGCACATCTCCTTTCCATGCATGTCCTCTGTTTTGTGTTTCACTGTTCATTCTGAAGAAATTAGATGGGTTGACTTTGTTAATGCCCTTGAGGTTTTTTTAAAACTGCACCAAATAATCTATTTAGACTAAAAAGGTTCAGTTCCTTTAGCCTATCAGTGTAGGAAATTGCTTAAAACTCCAGAAAACACATGAATGTATAGGCTTGGCTCCAGCCTTTGGAGTTTACATTTTGGATCTGCCTCTTGAGTTAGAAGGTATAAACCGAAATAAAAAATAATGAGTTGTCTATGATGCACAAGAAAGCAGTTGTGAAAATGAGAGCAAAAGAAAAGTCTAATTAGAAACTTTAAAAAGAGACAGGCCAATCACAAAATCAAAAATAGGCAATGACTTGAAAAAGACAAAAACTACTAGAAGAGTAAACATTCTGTTTACAGAATAACCATTAAAGATGTGAAGAAACACCCTAAAAATGCAGGCAAAGTGTTTGTACAAAGATGAGCCAAACAGTGCTGGAAGTTTTATGGACAGTCAAAACAAATGTAAGCTTTTATAAAAGTCAAGGAAAGACAAAAGTGTAAAGAAAAAGAACAATTGGAAATTATCCTAATCTCACTACCTCATCTGTGAGATTTGGTGGAGGTGGTGTCATGGCTGGGGCATACAGTACATGGCTGCCTCTGGAACTGGCTCATTGGTTTTCATTTTACCTGACAAGGGTAGCAGAATTAAATATTTTGTCTGCCCATGTGCAAAAAATGCCTCCTGACTCACTGTGCACCCTGCAGCAAGACAATGACACAAGACACACTGCACACTTACAGTTACTAAGGAGGTCATCAGGAAGAAGAAGTGGAAAAATTTGATTTTAATCTTATTGAACATACTTTTTACTTGTTGCAGAGGAAACAAAAGTCAGAAAACGCCACTAAGAAGGAACAGCTGGAAGTGGCTGCAGTTAAGACCTGGCAAAGCATCTCAAAGGAACGTTTCAAGAGTCTGGTGATGTTGATGGGTCACAGACTTGAAGAAGTCATTACATATAAGGGTTGTGTGACTAAATGGTAACATTAACAAAATAACTTACTTTAAATTCATTTGTCCAAATACTTATGCTGACCTGAAATTATCGGGAGATTCAACACAAAAACATTTTTGTTCTATCATGGTTTATATGGTATGCACAAAATATCCAGAAATAAAGGCTGACATTTATATTTTTGTCTTATTTTGTTATTGTGATCTGAAATAAAAAATAGTGCACAGTAAAAATAACAAATTTCACTTCACTGTGCAAATACATACTACAGTATTTTCACTAAAACGTTAGTGGTCCTAATACAGATCCCCGATGTACTCTATGCATTTTATTTTCTCAGCTTGAGTATTTACCTCTTTCTGTTATTCTTCATTTCCAACCTATTACCCAATGGACACATACTGTATCTAATAATGACAGGAATAGCCATTTTGTTCAATTTAAGAATAAAACATATCAAAGAACAGAACAAATATGTACTTGTCTGTAGTTGTCAGTGGCCTGACAAGAAGACTATGATTGTTTCAGCTAGTCTTATTACTTTCAAAATAGTAAAACAAAACAATATTAAAAACAAACGCAATAGCTCATAATGTGACCTTTCAGGCACTGAAGGTTACATGCAGCAGTGAACTCTGGGATGTCTGTCAGGCAGCTCTTTGAGCTACGTTGACACCATGACCAGCTGAGGTCTTAATACTCTTTCAGTCATCTCCTATTGCTTCCAACACAACATGAGATTATGCCAATCTACAAAAAAAAATAAAAATCTACAAAAATCTCTAATGCCTTGTTTTGAATTTCATTCCTGTGGTCATCAAGGTCCAGGATGGTAAAACTAGCAAATTGCGTTTTGTTCTGTGATAAACAGGTTAAAGACTGAGCTCAGTCCTCTATCTATGGGATGAATCACAGACAATGGGAGAATTGAAAGTTCAAGAGCAGAAGGTTAAGTGTGTGCCTCATCCACTGAAATCTTGGATTTTCTTGGATACTGGATCCCTTGGTCCAGTAGTGGTACTGCAATGTACAGTATTGTGTAACTTAAATTTCCATGGGGTGCATTAGATTATCATCAACCTTTCTGGTCATCTTTTGCATCAAAGCTTTGCCTTCGCTGTGGTTTGAGAATCTTAACATGTTATGCTTAAGGTAGGGCTAGTAAATCTGGCATTATTCTACAATAACTCAGTACAATCACAGAGCTTGCCATAACACTTGCCATAACACTCAGAAAATATGACAATATAAGGGAAAGGTTATGAGTGCATCTTTTTTCTAAGCAGACAAATACTGTACAGTACAGTACATATCTGTGTCTCTGGGTAGGTGTGGGTGAGTGTGTGTCTGAGAGGAAGCAGACATCTCTCCGTCCAGCCTAGATTGCATTTCAGGGAGATTGTGATTGGCTGAAGACAGAAAGGCAAAGTCTCTGGGGAGCCAACTGGCCCTGACTTACTGTTTTGCATCTGCACCACTGAGAGATATTTCTAAGAACCGCTTGGCTTCAGCAATTCCCAAGAACAAGTGGCTCCCTTTCAGAGTTGCTGGGGTGACAAGATAATGCAGCTCCTGCCAGGAAAAAAAAAGAAATAAGAGAAAGGAAAAATGTTGCCATCACTCTGATGGTTGCACCCACATTCAAATAGTCATATGTGCAAGGGTAGCCCCCTTCTCTCTTTCAGTCTCAGACTAACATCTAGAAGGAAATCTGTGCCTTTCTTGGTTGTGCATGCAGGGGCTCAGATATACATAGACACAAAGATGTAATCTCAGAAGAACACGTGGACACAATTATCCCAATAGTGTTGTTTTTATAGAAAAAGAATGCCAAGAATGCATACTGACAATACAGTTATGCTAGCTATAAAAAAAACTTTCCATATGGGTTCAGCAATTTCTAAAGAATTGCCTTGGCACAGAACCCCAATTGATACTGGCCAGTCTTCTGTAAACTCAAGCTGAAAGATAATCAGAATTCTAAGGAAAGAGAAAACCTTTCTCCCAGAAAGAGGTGAAATCTCAGTGTGCAGCATTTTATATTACCAACAAAGGTTTGAAAACCTTTTACCATTATTTTCAAAGATGTGGCTTTGTCATTATTTGCCAGAATAATAAAAAAGAAAAAGAATTTGAAAGAAGTAACTTCAAAGAATCTCTGGGAATAACAGTCAGTAAATGAAATAATGTGTTCTTTTTTTTCTTTTTTAATATTTTTTAAATTTATTTTTTACTTTATATCGATTCACATCCACTGGAATCACAGATAACTTCTTTATGTTTTGGCATTATGCAAGCACGATACCAACTGGCAGGAAAGTTATTCCCAACTCTAGGACCAGTATATCCCTCTCTGACAGCACAGGAAGCACCCAGGACGTCACTGGATGGATGGTATAAATCACAACAAATTATGGGTTTGAATATAAAGGCCTTCATCCAATGAGAGTACTGGATAGATGATAACAGCAACAGAATTTGGAACTGGTTCCTGAAACTGAAATCTCATGAAATCTCATGAAATAAAGGATAAAGAGATAATTAGTATCCATTGACAAATTAATTTAACATTTGATCAAGATTTGTCTAAAACAGGGGTGGGGAACCTTTTTTCTGCCAAGGGCCATTTGGATATTTATAACATCATTCGCGGGCCATACAAAATTATCAATTAAAAAATTAGCCTGCTATATTTGGTCAAACATTTAATTAACTCACCCCTAATGTGATGGCTGGAACTGCCTCTCTTTGGTGAGATGTTAGCTGGTATTGATGATGTTGCTACTCGCAACTGCTTTTCCAGGTTTGCATCGGTCAGACTTGAGCACAGTCGATCAAACAGCCACTTGCTATCATTGAGTTCCCTGAGAGGTTTTCCCTTCACCTCCATGAACTGCTTGACTTCATCCCGCAGTTCGTAAAACACAGTGTGTTAACACTTTCGCAACGTCTACACTCCCAGCCTGCCTGGCACTGACTGCCCTCTGAGTCACCGCAATACAGGCAGACAGGCCGCGGGCAGCCGGCGAGAAGCATGCGTGTCTGTCCCGTCATGTACTCGTATGTGTCCTGTCTATCCCGTAATGGATGTTCCTTGCTTGTCCCTCAAAATTAATGTTATTATTATGATTCACTTAATATAAATTTATGTTGCTATGAAAAGAGCTCCTAGATTTATTGAATTTCAAGTCCCGCCTGCGTAGGGCTGGGCGATATGGCCAAAAACATCGCGATAAAAAATTTCATATCAGTCGATATCGATAATTATCACGATAAATGTCAAATAATTATTTCTTTCAAGTTTAAAGGCAGATTTTTTTCTCCTGAGTGAAAGTTGAAGAAACCAGACAATTAATTGGTGAATTTAAACAACTCTTTATTTTAAGAACACATCACTTGCCAAACAGCAGAAACATTAAACAAATCCGTTAGCTGCCCGGTCTACAACACACACGCGCACTTGCGCAGTATTTAGTGCGCATGCGCGTACCATGTGTAAAGCATGAACATTTATCGGACTTTTGTTAAAATTATATCGAGGAAAATTATATCGCGATAATTATCGTTATCAAATTATCGCCAGGCTCTACGCCTGCGGTTGCCTTGGCAGGGCCAGACCAAATGATTTTTGGCCCGCGGGCCGGACGTTCCCCACCCCTGGTCTAAAAGAACAACACTTCAACTTCTTGTTTTTTAATTTACTTGAGAGTTATTAATTTATGTAAAAATATGTCTAGATTTTTCTCTTTAAACCTATTCACTCACTGAAATCACAAGATAGCTTCCATATGTCTTAGCTTATGTAGCTAGAGATGATAATATAGTTGAAGAATCCATGTTAAATTCTGGTTGAACCTACAGGTGAAATTGTATGCCAATAAATTTAAATTAAAACAGAATTATTTCCTGGTAAAAGACACATTTGAGGATTTTCTAGCTTTTTTGGGATGCTTTGATCTAACTCAGTTTGTTCATAGCCCTACACATAACAAAGGACACACCCTAGACGTAATCATTGCAAGGGACACTTTTATTTCTCACCTCTCCTCCCTTGATCTATGCCTCTCTGACCACATAGCTATTCTTTTCAATCTGGAAATACTTGTTGCTAAGACTTCCCCCCCATGCTCTGTAAATTTCCGCAGCTGGCAATTAATTGATCAGCCTAGGTTTGCAAATTCTGTTCTATCCTCCTTATCTTGTTAATCTACCTCTGATCCTCTAGAGGACAAAATACATTTGCTTAATAGTGCTCTTTTATCTACCCTTGACAGCTTTAAAAAACTCCTCTAAAAAACTCGCACCATCTCTTTTTCTCACTCCGCCCCCTGGTACACTGACCATCTGCAATCTATGAAGGCAGTCTCCCGGAAACATGAGCGTAGGTGGGGTCTTTTTGGCCTAAATGTAAATTATCAGGCTTGGAAAGATTACTTGTCTGAATATAAGGATACAGTAGTCTGCTAGATCCACCTACTTCTCTCACATCATTGAAAATCACCATAACAACCCCAGACATCTTTTCTCCATCATCAACAGCTTACTAAAGCCAAACTACCCCACCACATTACCTCCCTCATAGCAACTTTGCAACACATTTTTAGATTTCATTAGCTCCAAGATCGACAACATCTGACATCACATTCTCCCCATAGTGCATATCACTTCCACACCTCCTCCCTACTTGCCTAACTTTACTGGTTCCCTTCTCTCCAACTTCTCTCTTCCTGACTCTACATCCATTAGTAAACTGGTTTTGCATATGAAATCCACCATCTAACTATTAGATCCCATTCCCACAACTTTATTTCAGTCCTGTTTCACTGCTCTCTGCTCCATTGTCCTTAATATAATAAATTAATTCTTGAGCACTGGTAATGTTGTACCAATGGTCCTCAAAACTGCTGCCATTACCTCCATGCCAAAAAAGCCTAACATGCCACTGGACAATCTAAACAATTTTCGCCCCATCTCCATCTTACCCTTTCTTGCAAAAATTTAAGAACGTACTGTCACATTTCAATTACATAACCATCTCATTGTAAATAATCTTTTGGAACCCCTCCAATCTGGCTTCCATCAATTTCACAGCACAGGAACTGGCCTGGTCAAAGTTACTAATGATCTTCTAATAGCTTCTGATTCTAGTTATTTCTCTACTTTCTACTCTACTTTTCATCTTACTTTCTTTCCTTGAGACTGTTTTTGGAGTTTCTGACACTGCTCTCAAATGGTTCAAGTCTTACCTCACTGATCGCTGTCACTTTGTCTCTCTTGGTGGATTTAGGTATGAAACTGGTCTCGTTAAGTCTGGTGTTCCACAGGGCTCGATACTGGGTCCCCTACTTTCAGCACATGGCCTCAACAATCATTACTATGCTGATGAAACTCAAATATACATCCATGCCAAACCTGACACCTGTGGCTGTCTCTATTCTATCTGATTGCATTTCTGACATAAAAACCTGGATGGCTCAAAATTTCCTTCATCTTAATTGTGACAACACTGAAGTAATGCTTATTGGCACCCCCATCAACTTTGTAAATCGTGTTATCACTAACTGTGGCTGAAAAGATGATCAATACATTTGTCTTCTCCCAGATTGACTACTGTAATGCTCTACTTGCTGGGGTATCTAAATCCACATTATGTCCAAAATTCAGCAGCCAGAATCCTGACCGGGTCTAGTGCAAGTTATCACATTACTCCTATCCTTGAGTCCTTGCACTGGCTTCATGTCAAGATTCATGTCAACTTCAAAATCATCATGCCATAAAATCACCTATAAGGCTTGGCACCTCAGTACCTGTCTGAGGTCAGTACCTATTATCGCCTTCTCCCCATCTTGCAACCTTCACGTCTGTGATTCTGGTCTCCTAACTGTCCCCCAAGCCTGTCTACATGTATGTGACAGGGCCTTCTCCTGTTATAATAATAATTGCTTACACTTATATAGCGCTTTTCTGGACACTCCACTCAAAGCGCTTTACAGGTAATGGGGACTCCCCTCCACCACCACCAATGTGCAGCATCCACCTGGATGATGCGACGGCAGCCTTAGTGTGCCAGAACACTCACCACACATCAGAGCAGAGTAATTAAGCCAATTTTATAGAGGAGGAGTGTTAGGAGGCCATGATTGATAAAGGCCGATGGGAAATTTGGCCAGGACGCTGGGGTACACCCCTACTCTTTTCGAGAAACACCCTGGGATTTTTAATGACCACAGAGAGTCAGGACCTCAGTTTTAAATCTCATCCAAAGGAAAGCGCCCTGCTCGCCCCACTAACGCCTCTTCCAGCAACAACCTTAGTTTTTCCCAGGAGGTCTCCCATCCAGGTACTGACCAGGCTCACACCTGCTTAGCATCAGTGGGTTGCCAGTTGTGAATTGCAGGGTGATATGGCTGATATACCCCCTAAGCGCTGGAACTCTCTCCCCAAGGATATCAGAGAGTCACCTTCTCTAAACTCCTTCAAATCCAGACTCATAACCTTCTTCTTTAGAAGAACCTTACTTGTGGTTCCATTCTTTACCCCTCTGCTCTGACTGTAATTAGTACCACCATCTATGGTCTCCTCTGTGTATTCTCATCATGTTTATCTTGTATATTTTTATTGTTTATTTTTAAAATAACCAACTTTAAAGGCACTATAGAAAATAAAGTTTATTTTTTTATAATATTGTGATTGAAAATATGAAATTGTATGCCAATATTGTGATTGATTCAGACACGTTTTGAAACCAAGTTAAGTTTTCCAAAGTGACTTTGTTAGGATTACAGTTAGCATTAGCAATAAACCTATACTTCCATTAACATTACAGCTACATTTTAAGCAGAATTAATAACAGCTTGAGTGACAGCTTGATCTTAGCTTTTAATTTTTGGCTGACTAGGGTGCATAATTAGCATGAGGCTTAATAAAAACCAGGACTAGTCAATTTCTAATTGTTTTGCTTACGGCTGGGATAAGTCGACCAAGACTTGCCTCTCACCAAAATATTTGCTCCTAAAACTTGCCAGGTGCCTGAAGGGTTGCCTTGATATCAGTGAGTGACGTGCTGCTTCCCCAACTGGCACAGCAGAGTTTGCAGAAGAGCTTGCAGCAAGTTAACACATCAGGATATCTTGATTTGTGAGTGAGTTTTTGCTGTGAGGTGAGACATGAAGTAATTTGTGATTCCAAATTGGGTGGGTATAAAGCAGTATGGAAGAAAAGATCTGTGGACCTCTGGTGGGTCCCTGTCAATATGGTAGCTTAAATGAGAAATTACTTAGTGACTATAGCCTTTTGAATTTCAGTTTTGGGCATTTTTCATAGCTTTTGGCCATTTTTAATAGCTTCACTCCGTTATTCAGGAAGTAAGGATGTAATTCTTCACTTCACAGGGCACAGTTCCAGACATCCAAATTTCCTGTGATGATTCACTGAGGGAATACCTTACTTGGAACTACTTTCTTGGTTCAAAACCGCAGAAGTGTCTCATTTATTCAAACAATATCATTGCTGTTCTCAATCTGGCAATGCAGGGCATGGTTACATTTTTTTCTCTGCTAATCAATATACTTCTGTGTTTTAACATTGCATTTATAATTATTGTTGAAGCCTTTGGAAGTTACATTAGTGTGGGCAATTTAAAATTTTTGTCTCCCCTTTCCCCATATGATATTGTTTTTTTCTGCAAATATGCAACCTAATTTCTCTTCTGTTTGTTGCTGTTGCTGTGTTTTCTGTTATGTACATTATATCCAGTTGACCTCCACTGTGGTGTTTCTAAATCCCTTTAAATGACACCTTATAATAATGCTATTTCCTTTATTGCTTTCCTTCTGGAGATTCATCTAAATTCTGTATACCAGAAAAAAAAAATAAATGTGCTGTTGCACATTTTTGCGCACTAAATAATACAAAGGGGTATATTATAGTGGTGGATAATGTGACACACCCGGTGGTTGGGGTGTCATAGCAAACAATCTATGTATAGATGGGTCCCAGGAAAATAAACATGAATGCAGCTGCAAGATACAAAACAAATGTTCTTTATTTAGCTCAGGGAAATGGAAAACTAATCCCTCACAAAAATTAAACAAAACTTCTTTGAGATCTTAAGAAACTAAT